GAACTAACAATCCTCAACAACTTTTTAATTTTTACACCAAAGGTCTGTTTCAGGAAATCATATCCCCAGCAATCGACGGTTGTAAGTATTAAGCTGTAAAAGGGTTCATACACCACTAGTTGGCACTGTTGTATGTATATTGTACAATTGTTGCCAGCTAGTAAGTGTCAAATTGAACTTGTGCTTTAAAATTAGCTTACACTAGTATTTCTATGGCATAAGTGCTTTTGAGGATGCAGATCTAAATATTTATATAAGCGCTTTAGAAATTGCAGAGCTAATTACAGGATTAGTGCTGCCCACCACTGACCAAAGTAATATTTTATAATAAAAAAGTCATGTTAAAGTCTTATTATTACCAGAAATCTCATGGATGGACTGGTTATTTCAAATTTCTGTTAGTTGTTTACATTTTACACTTTGCAGAGTCGTGTTCGGCTTTGTGTTGTGGTACACTCATTTCTAGCAGTTTGGTTAAATGTGTTTTCTTTTATAATTTTTAAAAACCTACTTATTGATTTTTATGCTGATAACATGTCAAGTCTGAGATGTTTCTACAACTAAAAGCAGACTCCCGTTCCTACTGTGTGTCCCTGCAGAGGTGTCGGTGTCTTTTGATAAGGAATCTTCTGTGACCTACACCTTTCAAGAGCCCTTCTCAGTGATGCAGAACAGGAGTTCCCATGCCACCAGTGTTTCCACAGACAGCAGGGCCAGAGAAGATGTTGCCTTCAGCTTTGTCACTTCCCAGAAGCCTGCCATGCTGCTGACCATCAGCACCTTCAGTCAGCAGTACATCGCTGTTATCCTCACCAGGAACGGTGCGTACGACTTTTTAAATCAACAAAGACATGCCTGAGAATTATTGCTGTTATTTTTGTATTTGTGAGGGCCAAACATTAGCATACAGAAAGATGGAAGGTATAAAGTCGATTAGCCAAATTTGTGTTTGATTGCATGTTGCTTTTACCTACGGTAGTACTTATACATACTTCTTTAACTGTTCCACGTTTTGTGAAGTTTCAACCAAAAATGGCAGCGTTTTACTGGGATTTTATGAGATACCAATACAAAGTAAATCATAACTTTAAAGAGGGAAAAAAACAATAAATGGTTTTCAAATTTTTTACAAATAAAAATTTGAAAATTGTGGCATTTATTTGTATTCAACTCCTGTTCCTTTGATCTCTGAAACCAGTGCAACCCTTTGAAGACGTTTTGCAGTTATCAGTTTGACAGATCTCGAGCTAAAATGTGCTGACAGTAGCTGAAAATCATCTTAACACATACTGCGACATCAAACACYTTTTGCGTGAGATTGTGCAAAATTCTGTTTACAAGGTTTGACCAAAGCAGCTGCAACTCTGTTCTTAGAAAAATGAATTTCATCTGAATTCCTTCAGGTAATGTCAGGCCTTCGATTGCAGTTCGTTGTGAATCTGTCCACTTTTCAGCACTGAAGCAATGCGTTAGCTACACAAAATGTGTTTCCTTTTTTTTAAATACAAGTTATTGTAGTCATTTTGCCTCCAGACTACCAGGGCAAAGCTACCTTTACWCAGACAGAGAAGTGCATTGCCATGGTTACTAAATAATCCTGCAGAAATACACAGGAGATTGTTTCCTTGACTGAATTCATCCACTTTAGGCTGGCAGAGTTCACTTGGAGGTGGATAAATACTGTAAAGAAAACACGAATCTACTTAAAGCAGAAAGATGAACTGTAGTTACCACACAGCCAGTTTATCCAACACCAGCTGAAGGAAAGGACACGGATTTTAGTCAGGATTAAGTTTGTCAATACAAGAAAAAAAAAAGATTAGCTCCTGAATAGGGGTGCAGCAATACATGTACCCGTATCGAACAGTGCTTTCGGTGCAAGACACACTTGTATCGAACAATACAGATTTGATTTTTAAATTTACTTTGTCAACTTTTCTTCTGAAGATGCTCTGTGTTGAAGGATCAGTGGATCTGTGTTCGAC